TATATATATATATATATAAATGAATTATAACAAGTATGCATGTCCTACACTGATATTATAAGATTTTGATAATTAATTATCTAAATTTTATATATTTTTAAAAATTTATTAAATTAGGACACTTTCCCAAAATACAAAAATATTCGGTAAAAATTTAATATTTTACTATAAATATGTGCAAAATAATTAAAACTATAATATACTAAAAGTTACATAGCATAATTTTTCTAAAAATTAAGATATGGCAACTTTTGTGAAGTTTAACCAAATTAAAAATTAAAAAAAAAATACAAAATAAGAAAAATCACTGAAATAAGAGGTAGGGCAATGCTAGCCTACCTCGAGACGAGCAAATTTTTTAACTGGATCGACGAGTAAAAATAGCCCTCCATGCCCTAGATTCTCTCCCCTCATATCTCTCTTCTCTTTTACTTCTTATTTTTTCCTATCCCCCTCTCTAGTTTGGTGAAAACGAAAATGAAATGGGTAAGAAATGACATTTGATCATTCTGGTAAGTAGGAATGGATTTTCTTATAAAAAAATATCTTAAGGATATAAAGTTAATTATGTCAATTATTTAGTAGTTAGTATAAAATCCTTATAAATCCTTTTATATTTTTAAATTCGGGGCTCTAAAAATTATAAAAAATTTTCGTAAAATAGCTCAGCATATCTAAAACGTTATGGTGAAATCGGTTTGCAAAACAGACACTTAATGGTCGCAGAAAATCAACTAGTATTGACATTGACATGTCTCAATTTTTACCTACAATACTCATAAAATTAAGAAAAAATTATTATAATTAAAGTACAACAATATCTATATTATGATGAAAACGATTTGTAAATTAGAGTTATAATGACTCCTAATATATTATTTGTCTTGATCAAATTATGAGCTATTATAATTAGAGGGCTCAATCGAATCCTAGGAGCAGTGAAAGCGGGCAAAGCAAGAGATGAGTAGGGATCTAGGGGGGAGCATGTTGGCCTTTGTTGCATGATAAGGATGAATATACAAAATATAAAAAAAGGATGAAGATGCAAAAGGCAAAGATTTGGAATCAGGAAATGGAAAAGTCACTTAGAGGGGAGAAAAATAAAGTTCACAAAAGAATGATGATAGCCAAAAGCTCTAAAAGGAACGGATATCTGGAAGTTATGCCAGATTGATGTCCATTCCCCACTTGCGGATGTGAGGCAAGAAATCCAAGTGCCACTCTTGTGTAAGCAAGGAACAAAAGCACCAAATGAGTAGAGCAGAATTCATCAAGAGAAATCTCGAGCAAAGACAAGGCCCGGGTGCTCCACTCGCACGAGTACCATGGAGTAGGGGGTGGACGCAGTGCAGGAACCTGAGGGTTTTACTAGCATGCATGGTTACAACAGCTTCGACGCACTAGTGAGTAGTGGTAGCGCATATGGTTGTATAATTAGTCTATGCATAGGTTACAGTTCTATTCTATTGTAGAAATTTGGTTGTACTTTCTCACACCAATCTAGTTGGAAGAATAGCGGCAGTGTATTAGATTTCTTCTCTCCAAGTATTGAATCTAATAGTTCCACATAAGTCATTTTTACGGGCTTTATCTTGAATGCAAACCTTCTTATTCTGCAGGTTCTTGTGAATAACAGAACTGCAAGTGCAAGTGAAATAGTGAGCGACCTTCAACTCATCCTTCCAACCTCCAATCTTTCTTTCTCTCATTTCACCTTACTCTACAACAATTATTTTAAGGCTTCATTTGGGACAACTTTTTTGTTGCTTTTTAAAACAGCTTTCTAGTACAAAAAGAAAAAAAAAATTGTACTAAAAAGTTATTTTGAGAAGCAATAAAAAAGTCATCCCAAATGAACCCTAAATCTGAAGAATTTTATTTGACAGCTGTCCTTTTCTTTATCGCTTTTTCTAGGTTGCATCAGCACTTCATGATAATTGCAAAGCTGTTATTGTGGGAGAGAGGACTTACGGCAAGGTTAGGAAATCTTCTTAAACATCCAGCTCATCTGCTTCATTCAAATCCACTCAAATACAACAAGTTTTTTAAACCTTTTGCAGGGACTGATACAATCTGTTTATGAGCTTTTTGATGGATCTGGTTTGGTGGTCACTATTGGCAAGTATGTCACAACCAACCACATGGACATCAATGGAAATGGAATAGAACCAGATTTTTCTCGCTTTCCAGGTATACTATTCCTTTTTCATTTTGAAAAATCTTCTTGTTCTCAACAGATTTTTCCTGCTGCTAACATCTCTTTTTAACAAACAGCATTAAATGATGTTTCAAACTATCTTTCCCAGTGCCAGATGCAAAGGGTGGGATCAGTAAAGGTTTGAATTATGCTCATATTTCACTCGAACAGATTGAATATTTCTCTATGATAGAAGAGCGATTTCATTGTAAATGCCTGCTTCATTACTTACTGGTACTGTTGTCCATTTCTATACTGGGGTTGCAACAGACTGAATTGGTCTTTAGTAGATAGCTCATGGCATTTAAATTATTAGTGAAGGAATGATAAGCTTGAATGAGCTAACTATCATTTTGTAATTTATAAACCATTAATGTTCGATTTACCATTTTGATACGAGCTTTCAGCCTTAAAGCTGTCAAGATCAGCTCTCCATGCTTTTCTTGGACCATTTTATTTATTTAATTTTGAAACGATGACTAATAAATTTTATAATATATGGCTCAAAGATATGAAATTGAAAAAAATAACTTTATCATCTAACCACTAAATCATAGATTTTCAAAGTTAAGCTTTTGTTCATTTTGACCCTTCAAATAATATTTTCAATTTTCAAACATCCTAGAAGTTAGCAACATCGTTATCGCTCAAGAGATTATTCTGTGCGGACATCGGACGGAAAGAATAGTCTGGTTTTGTCTCTCTGAACAGTAAATGCGTAGCATGAACAGTAAAACCGCAGTGAGTTGCACTTTTACTGTTCTCAGAGATAAACCGGACGGTTCTCCCTACCCGGTGTCCACACATAATAATTCATCGTACCGCTCGGGTTCTTTTTTTGAGTAAGGTGAGCATTTGAATTCAATTTTTGAATTTAGTTTCAATCAGCACGCTACTGGTACAAGTGGTATTGATGGAGTTATTGATATTTTTTGTTTAATAGTTTAATAAGCAGTTATAATGAACCAAAAGTTTTTGAAGTATCAAGTTATAATCTTTAATGAATGAAAAAGTCTAAATTTTGAGAGTTGTCTATCTTAGAATGCTGAGATATGGGTCTAAATAGAGAGAATTTTCTCCCTTTCTTGGGGGGAAGAATTTAATTGCTTTTGTAGCAAGTTATTTATATTTTGGAAATATACTTTGTGAAGTAGAGTGACACAATCCTCTTTGAAATTAGTCATTAAAAAAAAAATTGTTGAATTTTGAATGTTTGGATGTGCAGTTCCACATTGTTATATTATATGATGTCAATTAGATTGTAATGTTGGAGAAATTATTCCGTGTGGTCATCGGATAGTCCAGAGGCAAATCAGAATGCGCTACGTCACCTGATACACAGTGACACATAGTAAAAAAGCAATGTGGGGCGTCCTGATTTGCTTCCGGATGACGTCCGGTGACCACAGAATAATTTCTCGTAATATTGAGTGTTATAACCTACAAGCTCAGGTTTTTGAGAACTTGCTCCTTAGGAGATTTTTCCTTCAAATATCTTTAAAATGGATAGGAAATATCAAAAATTTTTATGAAGTGTTAGAAGTTAGTCGCTAGAATTAGATCAGAACATTAATATAAAAAATTATATTGCTCTTAGATAAATCATAAAACAAAGCGGATCGATCTCTCAGATTGATGAGTAGTCTTTTCTTCCTATTTACTATATTAAGCCTTTTTATGTGATTTATATTATAATAAATCTTTCAAGGCAAGTTATAAATGAGGATTGTTCATGAGCACTATGTGCTCTTTAGGGCCTTCAAATTAGGATGCCCTTTTGAAATATTTGAAGTGGATGGCATGTCATTTGCTTGCTTTTCCGAAGTTCATATATTATGAAGCTTTGTTGGGGATATTTATAAAATGAGAAATTTTCTTTTATTCGAGTATATGTAGTGATGAGCCCTCATGGGAATTTTTGAATAGAGGGACTTTTGTTTGTTCTCACACCATCTTGAGGTTATCCCACGTAGTGGGACAAAAGTTTGATGTTGTTGTTGTTGTTGTCACACCATCTTGAGGTCCATGTTGCCCTCTTAGGAACTTTTGAATAAAGTGATCATTGTCTATTAGCATACCCTATAGAAGTATCTCCTCTTAATATCTATGTAATAGCCATGAATTTAATTTCCCTAAATTCCAAGAAATTTGTCTAAGTGAGAGCTATGAAGCTGAACTTGGGGCGCTATGGCACCAAGATCTCATAATTTTTGGAATTTGAGGGAGCCCAGCAACGTTGGGTTTGGAACACTACGATGCTAGGCCTGAAAGTTTATTTTTTAATAAAAATATCTAAACTCATTTGTGAAAACCCTCATCATCACCTCTTACCCCATAATCCTTCCCTAGCTAGGTGAGAGAAGGGAGAGAGAGAGGACGGGACAGAAAAGAAGAGAGTGTAGGAAAGAGGAGAGAGAAATTGGGGATCGGATTGATATTATTCTTCAATTGCAAAAGGTGCTCTAATCGTGATAGGTAACACTAACCCTACATCTATTTTCAATAAATTTGTGTTTTGCCAATTTCTTTCTTAATGAAATTTATAAAAATGCAATATCTCTTGATTCGGTGATTTTCTATCATATAACTTTTAATATTTAGTATATATTGTCACGACCCGGCCCGGCTAGCCCGTCGATAACGGTGCGGGAACAGACGGTCGTACGGAAGAGCATATAAAATATAATCAAATTCAATTATATGATTAACATCAGTACAAAAATGTCATCCAACATTTAAAAGAAAAGTGCCACTAAAAGACATCAAACTGAAATGTCTCAGACTATTCAATTGTCTCACAACTACTAAAAACTTTTTAAACATCAATTACATTACATAAGCTCTCACCATTACATAAACTTTAAACTCACAAACTACAGAAACAAACTTAAAGACTTAAACTTAAAACATAAAATATAACTTTCCATCCTGAGGTCCCCTACGACGATACGTGAATGGTCATCGTGCAGCCATCACTTCTCTCCTGAAAAATATTTCTAAAAGTAGGATGAGTCAACGCTGAGCAGGTAATTCATATCTCAGTTAATTTCATAAGATGTTTATAATAAAAACTTTTACAATTAGAACTAATTCATTTCATTGAGCAAGTCATAACATGTAATATTCATTTTTCCTTTCTTTAACATTAAATTCCTTTCATTCTTTCATTTCTCCTTTTTCATATGCAATGCAAAAATGCATAAATGCTTATGCTAAATGAGTACACCCGTCTCAGAAGTACCCTTTTTCGTACTGATCAGGCACGCAGTCAAAATTTTGGCCATTTCCTTTACCATTTGGCTTTTACAAGCCCCATTACAATTTGGCTTTTATAAGCCCCTTTACCATTATTATTTTGGCACTTCCGGATCAACATGCAGCATGAAAATTATTATTCAATTTAAATCTTTTCATTTATGTTCAATTTCCTTTCATAGGCCTCATATATTTTCATGCTCAAATGCTTTTCATATGGTTCATATGCTTTTCAACAATTAATGCATAAAATAAAGGCATGAACTTGCAGATTCATTGAATTTAAAACATTATTTAGCAATAAAAATAAATATATGAAATTTCATTTAAACATAAAATTTTAAGCACTTATAAACTTAACTTGGGTAGGAACACCTACCTCAACCCAAGTATGGCACGCCGCTTTGACACAGTTCTTTCACCTTACCCTTTAATGGTCAGAACCTAAGCAGTTTACAAAAGAGACGTGTCATATAATTAAAAATCAAATTTCCTAAGTCTAATTGCTAAACCCGGCATTTTTCCCCTTTAACCATTCCTTATGACATTTAAAGGATAATTAATTAAATAAACATTAATTTTTGGATTTAATTAAATCTAAAATTTTGGAAAATCATAAAACTCTAATTTCATCAAATTATCGCTCCAAACTTAATTCTTAACATATAATCATAATTATATGTTAATTTTCGGATTAAAATAATCATGAAAATTATAAAAATAAAATTTTCCTAAAAATTCCAAGTTTATGCATTAAAAACACTTCTGATGTCTTTAGGAACAACTTTTGTAAAAACATATTGAAGGAATTAAAGTTTTCGTCAAAACCCTAATCTTTGATTTTCAAGATTTTTCTCCCAAAATCATAAACTTTATCACTAAAATGCTTTTCTAACCATTACCTAATAATCCCTTAAAGAAATTTTGGAAGAAAAACGTTTTTAAGAAAAACCCTAGAAAATTCTTTTCCAAAAATCTAGAGATCCAGAAAGTTTCGCTTGAAAATAATCATACCATAGTGTTTCTTTCGTCGTCCTCTTCGATCTGACCTAAAACTTTCGCCGAAAAATCATCGCCGGAGCGGATTCCGTCGCCTATGCCGTCCGTCCCTTCTCTTTTCCGTTCGGTTCACGCGTAAAATGGAGAGGGAAGGGCTCGGTTGCTATATTAGGGAGAAAATGGGATTTGCAAATGACCAATTTGCCCTTACTTAAGTAATTCCCGCAATACTAAAGGTTAGGGGCAAAATCGGGATTTAGAGACTTCTAAAATTTGTTATTCCAAATTTAGGCAAAATTAGGTACATGTTCTATATACCAAAATGATCAAAATTTTGCAAGGGATTTTCTAAAATTATTTCTGTTAAATTCTGACAACTTTAAAAATTTCACTTAAATTTCGTCGCGGCGCTTTGAAAAACGTGCGACGACCTATTAACGTCATTTTTGGGTTTTACATATATCATTCTCTTAAACTTTTTAATTGATTTATATTTAAGTTCCACGTGTTGGTTTCGCTTATATATCATTTTAATTGAAATGAGAATTATAATATTAAATATAAAATGATCATGAGTCAATATATTACTTTTGGACATGAAATACATGATATACATATATTTATAATTCATTTAGTAAAGCATACCTTTTTGGCATACTACAGGCATAATGTTAGTTGCATTGTGTGCAAATGATGTTTACTATTATGCTCTATATGATATAAAATGTATGCAAAAGCAAGAAAGGTTGACTGTAAATGATTGACTAATTCAAGTTGATTGGAAACATGTTATCCTATAAAGGAGGATAGTTCGACTAGCTTTCTTGTAAATAAGAAATTATAGTCGAATCTTTAGGTGATATGAAAAGTGAGATTTAAAGAGACTGACTAATATGATATGATATATTGACGGGTAGGAAGTGACCATTTTTCTTATATGAAAACCACCTTACTTGTGATATGTGATATAAGATTGGTTCCTGAAAATATAACTGATATGATTAAGACTGGTTCCTGTAGGGTTGACCTATAGGACTGGATACAAGAATAATATTGCAGGCAGTTGGATGTTCAATATTGCTTATATATACATATTACATCAACATGCATGATAAACTATATAAGTGACATGATATAATATGATA